TCCCGGATCCGGCAACTTGAAAAGTCACTTCAGGTTGGGACCGGCAGATGGCATAGCGGTTACACTGCTGGACTCCCACACGGCCAACCACGGTTCCAGTCCTGGACCTGGCAGCTTGCAACTCACACTGGTTGCATGTGAGTGGGTGACCAAAATCCTGAGAAAAGACTGGAGGAGAAGGGATTGCCTTGTGGCCATCCTCCCGGGGGGCGATTTCTCACTTTCTGTCTCTCTGTTTCTCTGGCAAGTGCGCGTGCCCTATAGCGAAAATCTCTCTTAAAGAAAAAAAGCAAATCACATTGGGCACATGTACATGTGTGCTCAAAACCCCAAGAGGGAAATGGAGAAGGGATTGTAGTGTGGCCATCCCCCTGGGAGGTGACTTGTCACTTCTCCTCTCTGTCTCTCCTCTCCATTGAGTGGACGTGCTCTACAGCAAACAAAATAAAGTAAGTATGACTCCCTACCACCAGGCACTCCTACGGCAAAGTCCTGGAAATGCTCACACCCTTAGACGGCACCCACGGACCCACCTGGCAGGCTAGCACCGAACTGTGGGGCGCACCTCTACGAGCAAGCCTCCCGGACTCCTAACTGAGCACATTAGCAGTCTCGGCTTAACAAATGGTGCATGTATTTTTTTTTCTGCTATCTTTCTCCTGAGCAAATAAAAGTATGCGAAATTAAACTTCCCTCAGTGGGTGTGCCCGGGCGCCTGTGGAATGTGCTCTAGCCCTGGGGCTGTCCTCGCCATGCCTCACCCATCATTGCTTGGTTCTCTGCACCTGTTGCTAAGGTCTTAAAGCTTCAAGCATTTGTCCTCTCTCTTCACAACTCAGTGTGGTTTTGTTAAGTTTATTCATTTCTTCCTTCCTTCCTTCCTTCCTTTCTTTTGAAAGAGATTGTTGCTAAAAGGCATGTGCAATCACCAGAGAGACAGAGGGACGGCGAGAAATCACCCCCCAGGGAGGATGGCCACACTGTAATCCCTTCTCCTCCATTCTCTTCTCAGGATCTTGGGCACACACGCACATGCACCTGGTGTGAGTTTCAAGCCACTCGGTCTGGGACTCGAACCATGGTCAACTACCGTGGGAGTCCAGTGACGTAACCATTACGCCATCTGCTGGTCCCAAGTTTATTCATTTGTTTCTATCCTGAGAGAAAGAGAGAGTGCACACATACACACCCAACAGGGTCTTCACACCACAAGCTACTGCCAATTGCAGCCTGAATCGTGGTCACGTGGGCACACACGCCCAGGTGCAGGGAGGTCCCAGAACACAAACCCAGGACCTTTCCCACGTGGGTCAAGGTGTGTCACCGCCACACCACTGCCTGGTCTCTAAACTGAGTCCTGAGGAAGCCTGAAAGCTGTGGGCTGTCCACCAGCGAGGACTCACTTCCGGGATATCCCACTTGAGCAAGTGGGAGTGAGCAACCTCAAGACATACTCCTTTGGCCCAAGGGGGCTGTGTGCTGTTTGGGCCTGAGTCAAATCCTGAGCCTGGTGGTTTGAGAAACACACCAGGCACATGTGTGTAAGAGCCCCAGGTCCCCGAGGGAGTGAGAAATGGAGAAGCGATGGCGGCGTGGCCGTTCCCCCGGGGAGTGCTTCCTCGCTTCCTCTCCCTCTCTGTCTCTCTCTGGAGAGTGCACATGCTGTCTTATTTTATAGAAAGGAAGCCAGGCTCGGGGAGGTCGCAAAGTCACACCCTCACTAGGAGAGTCAGTGACAGCCGTGTCCCCTTCGTCCTGTTCGCCCTGTCCTTTCCCTCTCCATCAGGGGCTGTGCCCGCTGGTCTGGCAGAGGACGTGCCGGCACCTGGGAGGTCCTTGAACTGGGAAGGCAAAGCCTTATTAGACACCGCTGAAAACAGGAGCACTCCTGAGACCCGACTGAGCCAGCGCGACTGCACTGATACGGGGCCTCTCCGTACCCTCCAGCCCTCCTGGGAGGAGCGGGGAGAGGGGGGCTGGTGAAACAGCTGCTCGCCCTGAGGAGGCCCGGCTGCAGCCCAGGCTGCATCAGCAGCTTGCTGGGAGCATGGACTGTTCCCTGGTCACCTGACAAGAGGAGCGTTGTGGAGTGACTACAAAGAGCCAGAAGACCGTCCCTTTGCCCCCCAAATATATGCCCCCTGCTGGTCTTCTGGGTGGTGCCTGAAACCTTGCCATTATGAAAATAACTGAAAATCCTAAAGAGACTTGGGGATTATTTAAGCCACTTCCTCAACATGTAGATAAGGAAACTCAAGCTCAGAGAAGTTAAGCGACCCAACCAAGGGCAAACGCCCTAGAGCTTTCCACAGCGGGATCTCTGAAATAATCGTCTCATAAGGACTTTTTTAAATTAATTTTATTTATTATTTTTAATTTGAATGGAGAGAGAGGAAGTGAAAACGCAAGCCACTAGGTCCAGGACTCGAATTGCTATAGGCCATGTGGGAATCCAGGGCCTTAACCACCATGCCACCTGCTGGTCTCCCTAAGATGTTTTTTTAAAAAGAATTACGTTAGGTCAGCCAGTGGCATGGTAGTTAAGGTGGCTAGGTCCCACATGTCTGACTGTGAGGTTCAAGTCCTGGCCTCAGTGGCTCAAAAAAACATGTTAGGTGCATTTGCGTATGTGCCCAGAATCCCCAGAGGAGAATGGAGAAGGGATTGCAGCGTGGCCACCCACCCCCCACCCAAGGGGGGTGCTTCCCCCCTCTGATTCTCTCCTACAATCACATGTATCCTATAGCAAATTTAAAATTAAGTATATATATATATAATACACATATACATATATATGTGTGGTTCTGAGCTCACATAATTTAGGAAATACTCCACTTTCCACTCTGCCTTCCCTGGGTTGCTCCTTCTCTAACAAATACAAGAGATCTTCAAGAAGCTCGTGGAAAATACAAGTTTCAAAATGTTTTTGCACCAAAATAATTGTGTTTTTTCCACAGACATTTGGAAGTCTCGTATGTATTCGGTCTCAGAATGAAAAGCACGTGTTAGGGATGTGCTCTGTCTGGCAAAGCTGAACTAGCCTGTCAGCATGGTGACTGCAGGACCGAAACGCTCAGGGCCTCCTCCAGCCCAGGAAACAGCCCCTGCCTCCTGCCGCTTTGCTAAACCGGGAGTGCTCCAGAGGGAGCCCTGGAGCCCGCTGCCAGCCACGGGCCCTTAGGACGATTTATTTCTACCATGCTTCTGAGTGAGAGCTTTTGTAGTCCCGAGGTCAAACCAGTAAATCTGAGCCCGAGGCTGCTGTCTTGAGAAAGTTAGTTTAGATAAGAAGGATGGAAATTAAACGTGGGAACCTGGAGACCCCGGCTCTCTAAGGAAAGAGGAAGGTGAGTGTAAAGGAAAAGGCAGGTCAGCAAAGTCACCCGGGAGCCTGGCAGGTCAGTGACCACGTCTCCGAGAGAGGAAGAGGACAGCGGACACCCCCACACAGGACCACGCCTGCCTGCAAGACGCCCAGAGCCAGCCCACCGCTCCCGGAGGGAACGGCCACTCGGAAATGGATTCCTGTCTATAGACATTATGTGTAAATGTCTCCCCTGAGCAATCACGTGGGATCTAGGAAATAACTTAATTTTTAAAGTAGATTTTTTTTTTTTAATTAGGACGAAAGGGTGGCTCTCCTGTCAATTAAGTCCTATTTCAATTAGGGCTGCTATCATTTGGGTCATTACTTTAAGTGTTTGAAATTTCGACTTAACTAAGGTCATTTTCAATTTGGTGAACACTCCTAAGTCATCAAATTAATTTGCAGCCGGTCACCCAAGGATTGCTGAGTAAGTCAACATAATCAAGCATTAGCTAACTAGCCACAAATCCACTTGAGTTTATTAATCTCTCTCTTGGCAGAGAAGCGAGAAAAGGAAGCAAACCGTCAGAGACATTCACGCATCGTTCACTCAATAAATATTTATTACGGACCAGGTGCCAGGCTTTCTGCTAAGCTAAATATAGCAGTCGTCATGTTATTAATATTAACAACTAAATCATGTAGGACTGCTTTAAAGAATGACCGATTGTCCCAAATATATCAATTGCCATGTCTGAGAGCGTGTGCCGTCCCTTCTGCCCACGGTGCCATCTCGTGTGCTGCAGCCCGGCTTTTAAACCTGCAGGTTGCCCGTTTCTCCCTCCAGAACTCCACTCTTGACTACTTTAGAAGTCCTGGGAGAACAGAAGTGGGAAGAAGCAGTTCCGATCATTGCACTCAGGTTTCTTATAGATGTATTTCAGTTTCGTCTTAGGGAAATAGTTTCTACTTGCTTGAAACGATTTTTAAATACAAGGGGTCTTAAATACAAACTGAACTTCACTGAAGCACAGGTTTATAGCGATACAAAAAATGTTGGAAGGCCACGCATGGTTTTTTCATCCTATACATTTTCCATGCACTTTGTGAAGACTAAATATATATTCCCCCAAATGCAGACAGGGATGTATACGAGCCGGAAATCCAACTTAAGAGAGTACTGCCTTCTCAGAGGAATTCCCTCCGCCTCATTTTCCATCTTCTCCTTAATAACAGCAAAATGGGGCACCCATCCCAATTGGACCCCCAAGAAAAGACCACTCTAAGAAGTGACCTTAAGCAAGTCACTGCCCGTCAGGCAAGGAGGGAGTTGGGGCTGCAGACTCCCCGCGTTCCCTCTGCGGCCTGTGGGTCATGGGGGTGGGCCAGCTAGCCCATGGGGGGGGGCGGGTCCCAGCACCCGGCATGCAGAGCCACACACACACACACACACACACACGCAGTGAACCCACACATGTCTGTCTGTCTCTCTCACACACACACACCTGCAGACCCTACCCATGAAGCCCCGACGCCCCCCAGGACAGTCAGCTTACCAAGAGACACAGAACACCCCACGCCCCCCCAGAAGGAGAGGCGAGGAGTCTCCTTCCCTCTGCCAGCCGGTCTCCTGAGGCTGCTGACATCACAAAGGTGTCAACTGGCAACCTCATTGTCATGTGGCTCTCCCCTGGCTCCCCTTCACTCGCCAACGCAGGGAAGGGTGAGACCTTTCAGAGCCGCCAAGTGGGCAGGCGGCCAGCTGCAGCCGGGCCGGAGCAAGCCGCACAGCCGCCCAGCCGGCAGCGGGCACCGGCCTCGCGTTTCAACTTCTGTTGGGTTCTCCTGTAATGGAAAATTGCTCTGCTCAAAGCTAGAGTGGTACAGTTCTTTCCAGCACCCTCCCCGCCCCGCCCCACCCCTGGCGCCTTCGGATCCAGGGACAGCGCCGCAGGAAGGTGGAAGGAGGGTCGGCGGCTCCTTACTATGCCCCGCGCCGCAGGCCCTGGCCCGGGCTGGTTACTCTTCTCCTTTGGAATGGGGCTGGTATCAGGGTCAAAGTGTCCAAAGGGTTGCGAGTGTCAAGCCCAGGAAGTGGTCTGCAAGGGGCAGCAGCTAAGCGAGTACCCCCCTGACATCCCCCTGAACACCCGGAGGCTAATCCTGAGCGAGAACAGAATCACTAGTTTGCCAGCAATGCAGCTGGGACTCCTCAGTGACCTTGTTTACTTGGATTGTCACAAGAACAGGATTCAAGAGGTGATGGATTACACCTTCGTCGGGGTCTTCAGGCTCATCTACCTTGACCTCAGCTCCAACAACCTCAGCTCCATCTCCCCCTTCAGCTTCTCGGTGCTCGGCCACCTGGTGCGGCTGAGCCTCGCCAACAACCCTCACCTGTCGTCCCTGAGCAAGTACACCTTTGCCAACGCCAGCTCCCTAAGGTACCTGGACCTCAGGAACACCGGCTTAAAGACCTTGGACCGGGCTGCCTTCCAGCACCTCACGGTGCTCCAGACCGTGTTTCTGAGCGAGAACCCCTGGCAGTGCAACTGCTCTTTCCTGGACTTCGCCATCTACTTGATAGTGTCCCATCTGGAGCCCTCAGGTGAGGCTCGGTCGGGTTTGGGGAGGAGGGGGTGCAGAGCTGGTTCCAGAGGGGGCCGGGTGGTCAAGGATGGGAGAAGTGCGGGCGAGCTGATAAACGCCATCTCGTTGCTCTGCGGGGCCCATCCTTGGCTTGACTGGAGGCTGTACGTCTGGGTAGAAGTTCTGATGTAGGAACACAGAGATCTGAGTTCTGGGCCCACACTCGGCACTTCAGAGTTGGATCCCCTGAGGGAAAAAACATCAGCATTTCTCTGAGCCTCAGTTTCCTGATCCATAAAGTGGGGGCAATGATTGCCTCACACAGTCTTCCTGTCAAATACAAGGACGTGTGTGGGAGCGGTAAGTACCGTCCTGGCCGAGTGGCGCAGGGACGCAGGGACGCAGGGACGCAGGGACGCCGTGCTCGGTGCTCTCCTTAGGGACTGACTTTTCCAGGATCCAAGGTTAAACTCGCTCGTTCCTAGGCAGTCGGAGGGCCCATAGGAATACGATGGCTAAAAGGGGAGGTTGAGGGGGAGACGGAGCTGAGGGGCGTTGGGAGGGAGTGGAAGGGAGAGAAGCCTTTGACAGCTCGTTCCCGGGATGTTGGCCTCCCACAGAAGGGAGACCGCATGAATCTGCGGCGAAGGGGTCACAGTGTATGGAGCAGGGAGATTCCGACCTCACAGGCAGAGCCAGCCTTACCTGGGTGGTGGCCAAGCCCGCTGCTGCCACTCCAGCCCCTGTCCCCACCCCCAGGGCCCCTGGGCCATCCCAGTGCCTCATCCCCTCTGCTTCTCGGGGACTTCACTGTCCCACGCTTATCCTCCAATTCTCGCTCTCCTCCAACGGCACTGTCCCCTGGGGAAGTCAGAGCTTCAGGGAGACAAGAAATAACCCCTCATAGAAAGCCTGGGGCTGCTGACATCACCCAGCGAAGTGGGGTTTGGGGAAGAAAGATGAAACCCTATCGAAAGCACACCATCCTCCCTTTCAAAGGCATTTGAAAATGTTTTCACAGGCCAGCTTCACACAAGTCCCACTGAGGCTCCTACCATGAAGTCCCACCCATGTGACAATATCCCAGGATAGTCCTGGCCAGAATGACAGACTTCCAGGAGAACTGGGGACGAGGGAGCCCGGTGCCGATAGCAAAGGAACGCACGCCCTCTCGGCCGCCCAAAGGGCATGTCTTGCACTGTCTTCCGGGTAGGGCTTGGACGAGGGTGAGGCAGGAGAGCCCTTAGAACACGGCATTGAAGGAGGCGCTGACAGTGAGGAAGTGCCCCTTACATCCGCACCCTACACCCAGTGGGCCTTGAACTTGAGGTTAGAATTACCAGCCAACTTTGTCAGGCCGCCTCTTCATGGAGAAGACAGAAGCAGTACCCCGGGTGGGTTGCCTACAACAAAAAGGTTCATGGAAAACACGTATTACCAAAAGAAAGAAAGGAAGGAAGGAAGGAAGGAAGGAAGGAAGGAAGGAAGGAAGGAAGGAAGGAAGGAAGGAAGGGGCACGTGGATTGCAGTGTCTTGCAGCAGAATAAACAGGTGTAGTCATTGCATTTGTCCGTGACTTTGATTCCGACCTCACAGGCAGAGCCAGCCTTACCTGGGTGGTGGCCAAGCCCGCTGCTGCCACTCCAGCCCCTGTCCCCACCCCCAGGGCCCCTGGGCCATCCCAGTGCCTCATCCCCTCTGCTTCTCGGGGACTTCACTGTCCCACGCTTATCCTCCAATTCTCGCTCTCCTCCAACGGCACTGTCCCCTGGGGAAGTCAGAGCTTCAGGGAGACAAGAAATAACCCCTCATAGAAAGCCTGGGGCTGCTGACATCACCCAGCGAAGTGGGGTTTGGGGAAGAAAGATGAAACCCTATCGAAAGCACACCATCCTCCCTTTCAAAGGCATTTGAAAATGTTTTCACAGGCCAGCTTCACACAAGTCCCACTGAGGCTCCTACCATGAAGTCCCACCCATGTGACAATATCCCAGGATAGTCCTGGCCAGAATGACAGACTTCCAGGAGAACTGGGGACGAGGGAGCCCGGTGCCGATAGCAAAGGAACGCACGCCCTCTCGGCCGCCCAAAGGGCATGTCTTGCACTGTCTTCCGGGTAGGGCTTGGACGAGGGTGAGGCAGGAGAGCCCTTAGAACACGGCATTGAAGGAGGCGCTGACAGTGAGGAAGTGCCCCTTACATCCGCACCCTACACCCAGTGGGCCTTGAACTTGAGGTTAGAATTACCAGCCAACTTTGTCAGGCCGCCTCTTCATGGAGAAGACAGAAGCAGTACCCCGGGTGGGTTGCCTACAACAAAAAGGTTCATGGAAAACACGTATTACCAAAAGAAAGAAAGGAAGGAAGGAAGGAAGGAAGGAAGGAAGGAAGGAAGGAAGGAAGGAAGGAAGGGGCACGTGGATTGCAGTGTCTTGCAGCAGAATAAACAGGTGTAGTCATTGCATTTGTCCGTGACTTTGAAGTCCCCTCGTATTAGTCATTCTCACACGTCCAATGTGGCTGCCACGGGGGGCTCTCCCAGGAAGTGCTCACCCAGCCAGGTCTGGAAGGGCGTCCTCTCCCCTCCATCCCACCCAGGGATGCATGTCCCTTGAGGAGGGTCCCCCCCGGTGGCCAAGATGACTTCCTGTCCCAGCAGAAGAGGGAAGTGGCGTGTCTTCTACCTCCACCCCAGCCCACCCCCTCACCTCCTACCTGCTCCCTCTCCATCAAATGTCTACTTGTAGGGCTGTCTTCTCAGAATTGTCACCTTGACACCTTTGGACTCAACAATTTAATCCGGGACTGAATCAGATCATACACTAGATCTGTTTCACAGCATTTTCAAAGAAAAAAAAAAAAAATCCAGATGGGAGGACCTATCTCCTCATGAGTGAAGAGTCTGTCTTCTGAGGTAGACAAAGCTTCCCCACTACCCAGAGGGACACCACACGTGCACCCACGATGGCTCATCTGCCATGCCCTCCGCGACTCAGTGGCCCAGAGAGACCCCCAGGCTACTCTGTGCAGGGATGTGGTCCCTCGTCTCCAGCCTGCTATTACTGTTTTAAAAACATGGCAGAGTGGGGCCAGCAGGTAGCGTAGTGGTTAAGGCACTGAACTCCCACGAGGTTGACCCCAGTTTGAGTCCTGGACCAGGAGGCTTGAAACTCAGGCCGGGCCCGTGCACATGTGTGCCCAAAATCCCAAGAGGAGAAGAGATTGTGGAATGGTCATCCCCCGCCCCCAAGAGTGATTACTCACTTTCTGTCTCTCTGTCTCTGTCTCTCCAGCAATCGCACACACACACACTGGGTAGCAAAAATCTCTCAGAAAAAAAAAAAAAAAAAAAATGGGGGAAGAAGCCGGGGGCCGGGTTCCTC